GCACTGACAATAATACATAAGACACCATTGGACGATATGAGTTGTTCTTAACCATGCACATTAGTCAATACTGCTTGCTAACGAGATCAAGGTGGCCAAATCACAATACCGCTTTTTCGTTCCAGAGATGAATAAGGATTAATTCAGTTCAGAGAGGTATAGTTCTCAAACTATCCTAATTCTGTCTAGCTGTTTTAATTTACAGGTAATGGTAGGAATTAAATTAGATGTTTGGAAGATACACGATTGATGAGCGTTCAGTGTTTAGCTCTCACCTTAATCTGGTTAAGAAGTACTACTGATCGATCAACAGCTACTTATGTTAATCAAGAGTATATTCCGTATACTTACAGTCAGAGTTCAGCATAACATCTCACCTGATTCTGCGATTCAAACAACAAACTATACATTTTACAAAGAATTGTTGTGAATCCCTACTATTTTTAAAAGTTATTTACTTACTTAACTTTGAAATGTATAAATAATAGTAGCATCTCACATGAATTGAACAAGAACATATAAGTTATCCATAGATTAGTTAATTATAAGAAATTTAGTTAGAATGAGTAAATCATTAATCATTTCATAATTGAATAAAATAGCATGATAAACAGACATGGAGTGTGTGAGTAATAACTGGCAATGATACCAGCTACAATACTAACAGGAAAAGAAACAAAGTGTCATCAATGAAACAAAACCACTGACCATCTTATAGATAAGATAACTTCACTCCATAATAGTTATACTGTTTCATGTGACAAGGATTAAGTTTGTTGTTAAAAAGTTAGTGTCATTCAATGGTGAAGTCAGAGAGGTTACTACTGATGTATTCAGGTCAATAATTAGCTTCCTTCAGGACTAGATTTTTTCAAGTATGTATTCATCGGACATCAGTTGAAGGAACGAAAGAAACCTAGGAGCAGTGGATAGCTGTTTCGTCCTAGTACGAGACTCCTCGGCAGTTCGCACCCACGACCCCACCCCACCGGGGATCGAACCCGCTACCTTCAGGTTCCGTGGCCAGCATCTAACCATTGAGCCGCTGGGTCGGAATCCAGTCGTCCATATTTCCAACTTCTGTTAGCTCACAATATAGCGCAACCGCCACCCAATATCATTATAGAGTAACTGTCCTCACGACCATCAGGTTTTTCCCACTGGTCACAACTTCTCACCAGAACTTTGGAATACCTCTCGAAGCTAGTCACCAATGAGCATCAGTTCAATTGAATTTTTAGGGAATTGTGGAATTGTGGGAATCGATGATGGGCATATCTTTGAGTAATTTATACGCTAATGCAGCTGACGGATCGGAAAAGCAAGACAGGCGTTCATTAACATGAAACCAGTGTAGAGATCTTCTGCAATCAGCATAAACCCTGAACAACATCTGGATTTTCAACACCAACGTCAAATCAGTGATTCTGTATGGCTGAGAGACTTAGTGCGTTACGAAAAGCATTTCCAACAAACTACAGACATTCATCAACAACTGCCTACTCTGGCTCATTACTGAAGATGAGATGGCCAGAATAGTAAGAATAAGGAAGAAGGAACTGTGGCTGGCAACGAACCAACCAAGAACCGATCAGTCAACAAATATGCAGTGGAAGGAAGTGGAGATGGATTGAATTTGGCATACAGTGAGAAGGCCGACAGGGGACATCACGCGTCAGGCTCAATGTAACTAATACTTGACCATTCGAGGGCACCACGTGCTAGGCACTCCAGTGGAACCCAGATGGGAAGCGGCGAGTTGGGCATCTGAGCGATCTTGACATGGAGGAGATCGTGTGAGGAAGAAATAAGAGCTTGTGGGCTGTCATGGAGCCAGGTTCAAAAGATTGCAGAGAAGACAGTGGAATGGAGACGTGCTACTGAAGCCGTATGTTCCACAAGGAATCGAAGGGACAAATAATAATAATAATGCAACTGACGAATATGATGAGGTATAAAATATAGGTTAGGAAGTGGCTTTCGATGGTAATCTGTAACTGTTCAAGATTCAGATTATGCATATAAATTTACGCATTTCAGTAATACACGATATCTGTCTACTCATTTCTACGCTTTATAACTTTCCTACGCATTTTGACAACCTCTGAATGTTTTCGTTTTCTCTTACTCAGGTGATTTAACAGTCAATCTAAGAAAAGAATCTGAACACAGAAATAATTTGGACGCTAATGAAGAGATGAAACATAATTCTATTTCTACCATATTGATCCCTTTTTGCGTTTTCACATCTCAATGTAAACTTAATTCTCCTTATAATTGGAAATGATTTTAGCAACTTTTGTTTCATAAACTTAAGAAGTTGTCAACTTTACCAACGTCAGTATGATCAATTTTGAGGCATATCACATGGAATCTTTATTCATTATTTTCAACAGTTGTATGATTCCACCCCGAAAGTTCATTAACCCCTCCTCCCCTCACAAACCAAACCAACAGTCAAGGACTACATGAACTCATGCTGTATCTTGGTTTAGTCGCCTTAAATCCTTAAGCAGCTCAGTTTTACTCCAGCTAACATTGCATGGAATGGTAAACTATGACTAGGCATGAGTAACACATATTCTAGCCACCGGCTGACCTAACTTGATGGTCCAATGACATATGGGTTTTCCTGTTAAGACAACGTTGATCGAACAATTGGAGTCTCCTTCATATTCTCTACCTAGAAACAGCATATTTCACAGCCACATGGTAGGAGATGGCAGACTATAGCTCAATACACTCGGGTCTTAATAATCAGTTGAATATCTCACCGACTCTACAGATGGCGGAGGCTAACAAAAGTCAAACGAGTTTTTTTCTGTGAGTGGTCTAGATTTCATCTGCCACTACCTACCCTATCTCATGTGACTTTCCATGTTAATGGAGTAATGAATACGCTCAACCAAAGTACTTTAGCATGCAGAGACAGTAACAGGGTATAGCATTTCTGAAACAACAGTTAGCATTTCGGAGGTTAGAAATGTGTCTTTCACATTCTCTAAGTACAAATTTTAACGGTACGTTGTAGGTCAAGTAAACAGAATAGCGGAAAATTTTCAGTCTAAGCTTTGTAGATAGTATCCAGGGATTAATAATGAAGTCTTAGATTTTAATCGTGAACTTTTTCTCAAAAAAGCTTGATATAGACATTAATATAAGCGGAAAACTTGGGTACTGTGATCGATTGTAATTCCATTTTAGTCTGTTTATTAGAAATGTCATACAGTAAGGGAACAGCATCATTTACTCGATGACGTTTCGGACACTATTTATTGTCCATATTCATATCAGGTAACTAACTCCACAACTCCCAGCTAGACTTCATATATTTTTTGAGGGAGTTGTGGAGATTTGGAAATATTTCAAGTTGTTATTCATCGTCGACTGACATCAGTTGAAGGAACAAAGGAAACCTGAGAGCACTGGACAGCTGTTTCGTCTCACTGACATGGAACTCTTTAGCAGTATGCGACCAAGACTCCACCCCACGTGGGATCGAAACCGCGATCTTCAGGTCCCGCGACCAGCACGTTACCATTGAGCCACTGGATCAGAATCCAACGGTCCATATTTTCAACTTCCAACTTCAGTGGTAACGCGCTGACCGCGGAACCTGAAGGTCGCGGGGTTGTGGGTGCGCACTGTTGAGGAGTCTCCTACTACGATGAATACATACTTGAAAAAATCTAGTTCTGAAGGAAGCTAATTATTGACCTGAATACATCAGTAGTAACCTCTCTGACTTCACCATTGAATGACACTAACTTTTTAACAACAAACTTAATCCTTGTCACATGAAACAGTATAACTATTATGGAGTGATGTCTGTCTACGATGAATAACAACTTGAAAGACTTTATATATACCTAATTTTCTCTCCTTCTCTGTGATGATAAGGGTAGTAGAATACTCCATAAATCTGGATGAAGTGCACAATTATTTCCATTGCTACATGTATTTGCTGATGATTCGATAAACAAAGATTGAGTTGGTTATCAATGTGATGACACACAATCAAACAGTATGGTGGAATAGAGTGACAGTGTTAAAAGCTAACTGAGTCGAGGGAGAGATTGATAACCGGCTCAATTTTAGTTTATCGAATCAACAGCAATGGAAATGATTATGCACCTGTCCGAGATATATGGAGTATTCTACTACCCTTGACATCAAAGAGAAGGAGAGGAAATTAGAGCTATTTAAAGTCTGTCTGGAAGTTGTGAAGTTACTTACCTGATATGAATATGGATAATAAATTGTGTTCGGAACATCGTTATCCAATAAATGATACTGTTCCTCCTTCACTGTGTGTGATATTTCTAATAAACAGACTAAATTGGTATAGATGTTGGTTTATCAACGTTTCTCATTGTGTTTGGTATACAGATCAGATATAAAACTACCTCTTGACTTGTGTTAGAAATTGCTGCTTACTATTAAGATCAAACAAGTCAGCGTTTACACGTAGAGAGAGAGAGAGAGAGAGAGAGAGATCTTTCGATGTAAACACTAGATAAAGAGATCAACATATTTGTGAATCATACCTTATATAATCGATTTGGCCATAGTTACTATGCGGATTTATTGTATTTCCCATTATATTTTCTCCTAAATAACAATCATAATCATAATTATGATAAATTGGTTGGTTATGGCTAGCAGAAGAATCCAGGAGGCGCGTTTCGTCCTAACAAGTATGTCAGTAAATAGTAATAATCATAATCACAGTTATAAGTCAACAACTTATGTATAACGATGCATGTGATCTTGTAAAAAGTACGTATTTAAGTTTATATTATCAGTTATAGTATGTTTTTATTAAATGACATACGGATATGTTACTAAGTCAGTACATTTACACATGTGTCAGAATTCACTACATATACAAGTGTACAAAAGTCTATACAGAATGTTTTTAATATTCTATGGTTATCTCTACATATCCGAAACATATATATATATATATATATATATATATATATATATATATATATATACTGTGCCCGAATCACCTGAATTTCATCTTAGAACTTTGTACGATTCAAGAAATTGTGAACGATGTTTTATAACTGTGAAATTCACTGGTTCACTTTATTATTGGCTTTCAATGAAATTGGAATATTAACTGGTGCCAAGTTAGTTCAAGTTATTTGTATAATTTTATTCTATTCTACTCAGTTTTAATGGGTACCTCATTGAGATAAAAGTTAACCAGTTTGCTAAATAATCAATAAAGCTATAATTATCATTCGACTATCTTAAATAACCATGGTTTCGTAGATTAGTATTTATACTAGGTGATGATTGAAGATGAAATGAAAATTTGAACTATGGCCAGATTCGAACCAGAAACCACCAACGGATCTACGAGGTTCCACTACTGGTAGAGCAACAGGCTGAGAACCCAGTGATCGCTGGTTTGAATCCAACAGTAGTTAAAATTTTCACTTTACCTTCAATCATCACCCAGTATCACTAATACTAGTCTGCCAAACTACGGCTATCTCAGATAATCAATATGATGCTCGACCCCACCTCTAATTCAGTTAGATTTCGATTGGGATAAGAAGTCCTAACTGACTACGCAGCCAGTGTGAATATGATTCATCGGTAGTAACGCATCACGAATTCACATGGTAGTCAGGCAAAAACATAGGGATTCAGTAACACGTCGCCATTTCAACCTCTCCTCTGCAGTATTTTCTGCCTGTCTACACCACTGCCCGCCTGTATTCGACTGAATTGGTCAACCACTGTCGGCATATAGGCAACTGTCTAGATGCCTCGATTATATTATTATTTGTCCCTCGGGTTCCTAGTGGAACATAGAGCTTCAGTAGCACGTCTTCATTCCACTCTGTTCTCTGCACAACTTTTGAACCTGGCTCCACAACTGCCCACAAGCTCTTATTTCCTTCCCACACGATCTCTTCTATGTCACACTCGCCTCGGACGCCCAAATCGCCGTTTCTCATCTGGTTTTCACTCAAGTGCCTGACGCAGATGTCTCAATAGTGTCTGTATTTTCAATTTCCATAGATTATTAGTTGATAGTAGAGCGTTTTGACCTGACTTGTAACTTATCAGCTAGATTTACTTGCCTTCTAAGGAATAATGTTGTTCCTACTAAGACTTGAACCAAGTACTCATCACTTCAAACGTCAGAGTGCTATCCACTAGACCACTGAATCAATTTAACCATTGAATAATGGATTCTTTACTTCATACTCATTATAGTCAGTAAGTCATCACCAAGAAAATGGCCTTGGAATATCACTTTCTTTAAAAAAAAAGCACAGAAACCTCGTTTTTAGTTGATTTATTAGATGTATTACAGTAATCATGACTGAATCACTTCTCGGATGTAATCTATTGTTATCCATAGTTGTAGTAAGGAAACTCCATAAGTTTGAGTAGTGGTTCATATATACTTCTAATTCTTTCACCTTGTTTACGATATAAGTAGTAGGAACGGGTGTTGAGTCATCTCTGTTACACGTATTCTATATTGATGTGAACAACAAAGACTCGGTTATCAACCTCTCCTTCCATCGAACCAAGTTACTTTCAAGGAATCACATTTTCTACTGTATTTTATTCCCCCATCGTTGATTGAATCATCCCTCAGTATCTTTAGTACCTTAAGCTTCATAATAATGATGGATAATGAATAACAATGAAATCCAGAAATGTGGATTTCGTCTCGTTAGGGACTCATCAGCCGTATATGTCTGCCTTCTTTCAATCTGAACAGAAAGTTGAATTGCTTGTAATTCATTGAGACAAATCAACGTAGGAGCTTATAACTTATGTTTTCTATCCTCGAAACTCTATGTGAAATCTCAAATAGCATTTTGGTATTTATCTTGATGTCTATACAGTTGATTGAGGTGGAAGTAGTTAGCTCCTGGGATTTACCAAGATGACTTTTGTATAAATTAAACTGTCTAACCAAAAGACTTTTGAAGAGATCGAACTCAATATATGTCTTGATTTGAAGAATGGTTTAAAATACACAACTTTATATGTATAGTCATTATGTATTCTGGTAAACAGTTGCTAAACCGACATGACGATAAATCTGATCAAGTTAAGGATGTTCAACTGTTGTATCTTAAGCATTACTTTCAATCACTAGGCTAAAGTCATTGAGTATAGATTTGTCAAAATCACACGCTTTGTTAAATAGTGCAAACACAAGATAATGTTAGTAATGGGCTTTAAAATCAACCCATCTATGGAAGCGGAGGTTTGTAGGGAACTCCAAACTGTGAAGGGCTATAAGCCTCCTACTCAAGATAACTCACCTCTTAGTCTTTGTAAACATGCAGGTGGGACTGCTATCTGCTCCTCGCACAGTGTGTTTGAAAAGGAAATGCTGCCTGAATTCACTACTCACCTTCAACTTCACCATTTATGACATTCAAAGAGTACGTGGTACGTGGTGACTGTATATATATATATATATATATATATATATATATATATATATATATACAACCGGTTGAGAGACTTCTTGACTTCAAGTATGACTATGAAACTGTTCCATTCTACAACAACATACAGGCTACCCAAATAGCATTTTTTCAGTTATCGATCAACATCTGTAAGCATATTACGTGTTTCTCACTTTCAGAGTGCACAGTGCTTCTACAAGATTCACTGGATCATATAACTGCACTCACCCATCTTAGAAAGTTGTTAGAAGTCACCTAAAAGCTTGTTTATCTGTTTTGTTGTGTGAGTGTTGATGCAGGTATGACTGATAAGATTTTCAACCAAAGATCGAAAGGCAGAGCATCATTTGCCAATCTGACCTACCTCATATGGTTTCGCTACGTTGATCTGACTGCAAAATGTTGAGTACACAACACACTGATGCAAGCAGTTCTATCCTAAGCCTATGAAACTTGACCTCTCTAAGTTGAGTGCTTGATCACTATTGTCCCCTCAAAATTTTGTGCATGTGAGTAGTCCTGAAGTCAGGCGGCTTGTGCTTTGATATGGTAGGGCTCCTCATTCCTTAAGTATGGTCATCTTGAGACACTGGTTTTGAGGGCTTAGAAAAGTGTTACTTATGTTGTCCTGATGGCTTCCACACCATTTACCGTTCGCTTACTCTGAGGTTGGTTGCAAGGAGGTAGCTGGTGCCCAGTGTATGACATGGCCTTGTAGGATGAAAGATACATGGGTTAGGTTAGCAACTGTATTTTTCAACCCCTTGGATGATGTCCAAGAGATAATGCAATTAAGTGACTTTAGACGATAGTAGACGTGGTTAGGAACTTAAGTCAGTAGCTTTTACATTGCAGGTTCCTTGTTTTCCCTATTGCTAGGGATTAAAACGAAACTATTGAATACCTTTTCGGATGCATCTTTAATTGTGTTTTCTTAATAATATACTTTGGGTTATGTTTTAAATCTGGGATAGGAACACCATGAAAACACACTGAAAAAAGTATGTGACCGAATAGTCATTACACAACTACTCACAATATAGAATACATGATCTTGAGATCAGTTATCCACACTGACAACTTGAAAACATTTAGATACACAAGATAAAACGGTTGTGAACGTCGATTCATCATTCACCGAGACCATTTTATAGAGCCGTCTACGGGTTAACATGTAAAATACATTCATACAAATTGAAATCGTTCGAAAGCTCACTTATCTCCATGTAACACATCAAATAACTTAATTCTATGAAGTTATATGGATGAGTTTTTACGCCTCTCACACTTCAACGTTAGGCTTAAAAACTATCCAGAATCTAAAAAAATTACTAAACCATATAAAAATACTCATGATATAATTTTTCTCTCCTCTTTTCCCAACTGAACTGGCAACATAGATCACCAATTTTCCCACTTGTGCGTTCAAGGTTGTTTAAGATTTTCTCAAGGATGTATAATAATTAAGTTCCACCAAGTACCTAAAAATTTATGAAACGTCTTTCCTTAATCAGTTTCACTTAGACGAGAATCAATGCATGTATAGAATATATCAGCTGATTCTATGTTAAAAGCTACAAACAATGACACAAATTTCAGTCCGTTTTGTCTAGCGGAGGAATCCAGGACATACGTTTCATCCTACTTAGGACTCGTCAACTGAATGAACCTGTACACCAGCGCGGAGTGATGTTATTCCCACTAAGATTCGAACCTCGTACCCATCGCTTCAAACGCCAAGGCATTATCCACTATGTCACGGAAGGACGCTAGCCACTTCTTGTACAGTGATTAGTAGTTATTACTTTCTGCTAATATAGTTGTAATTCTTCATTGTGTTACTGGGTCGAACTGTTCCACCTCTATTGGCATATGGGTTCCAATGCGAATGCCTTAACATTGACTGAATGGTAACTATGGTAATTTGGTTGGTTGTGGCTAGCAGACGAATCCAGGTCGAACAACCTGATGCAATAAAACAAAGGAGTGCAAGTACAAGAAGTGGATAGAGTTCCTCTATGGCGTAGTGGATAACGCCTTAGCATTTGAAGCAATGGGTACGAGGTTCGAGTCTCAGTGGAAATAACAACACTCCACATTGGTATGCAGCTACATCCAGCTGAAAAGTCCCAAGTAGGATGAAAAGCGCATACTGGATTCTTCTGCTAGCCACGACTAATTAAATTACGATAATTGACATTCAGGCAATATCAAGACATCCATATAGGAGCCCATATGCCAATAAAGGTAGGACAATTCGATCCAATATAAAACGTTACGGTTTATAAGTTCCTGTCTCAGGCTAGAGCGTTTCAGTCAATCTCTATTAGAAAATGGGTTGCCCCACAGATGCCTCGATATTGTCTGTAATCTCCATCATTACTACCAAGACCATTTAAAATGTATAAAACTTGTGAAATCAGAATATCAACTTGTATTAAGCAGAAATAAACCTGAAAATTAGTTAACTAGTTCAAACAGTATCACTTACTGGATAACGTTTTGGACATAATTTATTGTCCATATTCATATCACTTAACTCTACAGCTTTGAGATAGAGTTTATATAGTCCTAATTTTCTCCATTACATGTAATTGGTATTGATTCGATAAACAAAGATTCAGTTACTAACCACTTCCTTCACTCAACTAAGTTAGTTTTTAATACTGACGCTTTAT